TATATATATGAGCTTGGGAAATGGTTGAGTGGGTAAAATCCTTGCTACAGAAACATGAGAACCTGAGTTTGGTAATCACGCAAAAACCAGGTGTGACATACACACATTGTAACCTCAGTGCAAGCAAGGTAGAAACAGGTAGATCCTGGGGACTTGCTGGTCAGCCAAGCCAATGGTGAACTCCAGGTTCAGTGAGAATTCCTGTCTCAAAAAAGTGAGGTAGAGACAAACAGGAGAGCCCAATGCTGATGTCCAGCTTCTACAGATTCTACACATGGACGTATACAAGAGAGGGAGAAAGGGAGGGAGAGAAGGAGAGAGGCTTTTTTGATATATTCAGTGTCCTAGTTAGCATTCTAACCAAAAACAACTTGAAGAGGATGGGTTTAACTCAGCTTATTAAGTGTAGTCTTTCATCGAAGGAAGCCAGGGTAGGAGCCCGAGCAGGAACCTGAAAGCAAGAGCTGAAGGAAAAACCGTAGAGGAACGCTGCTTACTGGCTTGCTTGTCTGGCCTGTGCTCAACCTGCTTTCTTACACAACTCAAGACCACCTGCCTAGGGGTGGCACTATCCACAGTGGGCTGAGCCCTCGTACATCACTCAACAAGCATGAAAATGCCTCACGGACATGTCCATAGGCCAATACAATAGAGGGAACTCCCAACTGAGGTTCCCTCCACCCGGGTGTGTGACATTGACAACTGAAGCCATCCAGCTCATGGATTATGCCTAATATACTGAACATCACTACTCAGCAATACAATACCTTGTACAGTGTCCAATGTTTATCTTGTGATCAAGGGTCTGATGCTTTCCTTAACTGCTGCCACCCAACATCAGGAGAAACTATCATACCCCATTCCACCATTTATACAAAAATGAACAAAATTCACAAACTCAAAAGCTCATAAATCAAACCATCCTAAATCCAGAAAGATGAGTTTTATTATTTTCTCTTTTTTCAATGTCTGCATCTATTTAATTAAACAATTTTATCTTTCAGCTGACATATAGTATCTGTACATATTCATAAGGCACAATGTGATGTTTTAAATCATGTATATAATGATCAACTCAGAGACTCAGCATATTCAACACCCTAGACATTTATCATCTCCTTATGGTAAATACATTGCAAATCCTTTCTTCTGTTTTGATATATATACAATGCATTCCTGTTAAATATATACATTCTGCTTCATCATAAAAGACTATAACTTATTCCTCCTAACTAAAACATTGTATCTGTTGATCAATGAGCTGGTACAATCCTGTAGCCCCAGCCCTGAGGAGGTTGTAGCAAAGGATGCTGAGTTTTGGGTCAGCATTTTCTCCAAATTAATTGATTAACTTAAATAAAACTGCCATATAGAACTAAATTTCTTTTTCTGGTTTGTCTTATTCACCAATTTTTTATTTTACTACTTTCTATTAATTATGACTCACTGCCTATTATACTAAGCAGGCACCTAAAGACACATTAGCTTTTTAAATTTGCATTGAATTTTTTTTAATTTCATATACCATTTTGATCATATTTATATCCCCTTCCATATCTGAACCCCCTTTACTAACCCCTGGCCAAATTTCTGTGGGATATATATATATATGTATATATATATATATACATATATATATATCCTGGAGAGTCAGATTTGTGTCCACAAATGCCTTCAGTGGGTTTATCCATTGGAGCCTAATCAAGCAACTAAGAGTCTCACCCTTAAAAGAGAATGACTCTCCCCTTCCAAGTCGCCATCAGTTGTCAATAGTTCTTCAGATAGGGTTAAGGTTTCTTACCCACATCCACACATCTATGTTGGGATTTTGTATGGCTTTAGATTACGTGTGAATCCTTCATGCTGTCAACATTGCTGGGAGTTCAAATGAGTAATTTACCATATGTCCATAAAACTCTGTTTCCTTGTGGTCATCTACTGCTCTGGCCCCTACAGTCTTTCTGCACCCTCTTCCACAATGATACCTGAGCCTTTGGAGGCAGAGGTTTGATATAGGTATACTGTTCATGGATATGCAGGCCTAAAGCCTCTTAGTCTCTGCATACTGACCAGTTGTGGTACTCTGTGTTAATCACCATCTGCTGTATAAGGGTGCTTCTCAGCTGAGAGTTGAGAGATGTATTTGCCTATGTGTATAGCAAGTCATTAGGAGTCAGTTTAATATAACCATTTAGTAGAAAACTATTATTGGGCTCTCCCTTATGTCCTGTGACCTATCTAGCCTCAGGTTCCTAAGCCTGATGTCAATGTCACATATGGGCTCCATCCTATAAAGTAGACCTTAAATCTAATTAGAAAGTAATTGGTTACTCCTATAATATTTGTGCCACTATTACACAAGTAGGCATATGTTGCTAGGCCAGTTGTTTTTGTAGTTCACAGGATTCACAGCTGGGTAAGGTTCATGCTAAATTTTCTCTTCAGGTAACTTGCATAACACCTTCCAGCACTATGAAAGCTAGAGAGCAGAGATGAGGTTTTGAAGTCAGCACCAGATTGATTTCTTATCT